TTCAGACCCTTGCCTCAGAGGTTGGACAAGTAGTGCCACCGTGAAATGCGTGTCTCTTGCCTAGCACTACCCCTTGTCTAGCATAGGGGGTGTGTCAAACATATATGCAATATGTTAGTATAGGCTAGTTAGGTGTATGCCTTTAGAGAGTACAACCTACTAGGTAAAAGTGCTCTAGAGTGTTGTTTCTAGCAATCTCGCTACTCTGAGACTCCTGGCATGCCAAGCCCGAGTAGTAAGAGGGCACTAGGAAAGGGAAGGAGTTCAGTAGACGAGGTTGAGGAGGATATGCAGAACATTTATTGACGTGTGGTGTACAATAGTTTTAAAATCAGCGTAAAACAAATTAGTGACTGTGATTGATCAGACAAAAAAATCTCTTGTTACTCTGATTTTTCAGACTTATTTTCAGAGGCGAGTCTGATGGCCATACCAAGGGATGGGAGGCAAGTCTGATGAATGAGACATCCCCAAAACCAATTTTGGGGCTTAGGCATAACGCAAACCCTGAAATCCCAAGTGTTCAGAAACATAAAATCATGAAGGGGTTTCGATTAAAAAAAGCCCCACCCAGAAAATTAAGGGCTGGCAAAAAAAAAATCTCTGTGAAATCAGAGAATCAGGTTATAATACCCTGATAACGACAATCCTGTTGAGAAGTCGTTTCCCATAAAGTGTCACTAACGATGCACTATGGTCCCCCTTTGTTCAGGTATGCGTTTCTTCCGTTCATTGCATACCAGGAAGGCTGTCGCAGACTCCTGTGGTCAAGTTGCATGCGGGGAGTGTATGATGGTCCTAAAAATGCTTCTGAACATCAGCCAAATCAGCATAGAATTCATGATATCAAAGGGCCTAGTGTTAACATGCATGAATGATTGAATACAAGTATGAACAAGGGAAATATGGGTGTTCTAGTTGTGCCCTCTAAGAACATAAAACTGTCTAGCCTATAACTTCTACATTGCAACATATATATAAGTTGACACGCTGTTATAGCTCGCGCAGGAGGAAGTACCGCAGCTGGATGTGCTTTGCTCTGCCCTCAACTCGAGGCTCCTGACACAGGAGGATCATGGCCCTATTGTCAGCGTACAAAATCGGGGCATAGCTAGGCCGCTCACCCAAGTCGGTGAGCAAGAAGGTTAGCCAGCGGAGCTCCTATGCCGCCATGGCACCGGCGTAGATCTTAGCCTCACAGCTAGACAGGGCAACAGATGAGGAGCAAGTGGACCTCCACGAGATGGCACCAGAACCAAGGCTAAAGCAGTAGCCCTGGGAGGACCTATGGGTCTCAGCGTCATCTGCCTAAGAAACGTCTGTGTGCCCAGTTAGGACCACTGGCCTACGTCCTCCCAGCACTAGCCCCATGCCCGATGTAGTCGCAAGATAACGCAAAACCCTCTTAGCGGGCGACCAGTTCTGTGGTCGGTGTCTGCCTGTGGCCACAAAGTGAGCCAGGATGCTGAGAGGGTATGCGAGATCTGGATGAGTGCAAGTCAACAGGTACATGAGGCAACCCACCAGTTCTGCGTAAGGACCACTGGGCTCTGCTGACTCCTCGGGAACTGGAGCTGAAAGCATGTGGTCTACTGGCAGAGGTGTGGGCTCTGCGGAGGAGAACTGAAGACCGAACCTCTGAAGGACCTGGCGCACCAAGTGTGACTGTGTGAGAGTGATGGTGCGCGCTGCTCTGTCCCTGGAGATCTGCAAGCCAAGGAAGCGGCGCAGCTCTCCTAGGTCAATGCAGGTGTGTCTCCTTAGCAGCTCAGCCTTCACGGAGGCTAGTGCGTCTCTGTCTGCAGTAGCGAAGACCAGGTCATCTACGTAGACAAGACTGTAGAATGGAGTCTGGCCAGCACGAACGAAGAGCGAAGGGTCTGCAGCCTACGAAAAGAACTGCAGGTCAGCTAGCGTAGCACGCAGCGTGTCGTGCCACTCATGGGGTGCCTGTCGCAGGCCGTAGACTGGGCGCTGGAGGAGCCACTGGGTCCCAGGAGGGAAGGTACCAGTGAAGCCTTGAGGACAGCGCAGGAAGACCTGCTCGTGTAGGCTGCCCTGACGAAAGGCAGTGGAGAAGTCGAGGGAGTGGAGCTCGTAGTCACGCTGTGCTGCTACGTGTAGCAGCGCCCGAAGACTAGTCATCTTCGGGGTCAGGGTGAAGGTCTGAAAGAAGTCCAACCCCTCTCGCTGACTGAAGCCTCTAGCCATGTAGCGCGCCTTGAACACAGGCGGCTCTCCAAGGGGGCGCTTCACGTTGAAGAGCCACTGGCCATCGACCACGTTCACCCCAGGTGGGGGAACAGCATCGACGTAGGTGCCAATTGATCTCCAAGATGCCATCTTCTGCTCCATGGCAGATATCCACTGAGAGGCCCAGGGTCCCGAGGTCGCCTCAGCACAAGTGCGAGGGTTCGGGATGTCGAGGGCATCTGGGTCACCCTAAGGGACTAGCAGCAAGGAGGGAGGTGAGCAGGGGCGACCAGGGATGTGGGAACCAGAAACAGCGGGGGGAGAACATGGAGACCTCAGTGGGGAGAGCGGTGGTAAAAGGGGACAGACTAGTCGGAAGCGGTGAGACGGTAGGTGGTAAAAGTGCCAGACAGACGAGGCAAGGGGGAAACCGAGGAAGACACAAGGGACAGTGCGGGCTGTAAGCTTGTCCGTGCCAAAGGCACGAATGAGAGCCAGGCAGCCCTAGATGTGGAACGCAGACATGTCACTAGGGAGCCTGGTCGAAAGAAGGGCCAGCGAAACCTGTGGCCGCTGGGAGCACGGCCAGTGTTTAAGCTGATGAGCGCCATAGCGAACGGCCAACGGCCACAGAAAATGGGGTGCACCGGCATGGATCATGGAGGTACGAGCCACCTCCATGACCAAACCGATGCGTCGCTCAGCGACCCCATTCTGCTGCGGGGAGTCCGTTAGGGTGTACGTTTGGGTGATGCCCTCCGCACGACAGAACTGTCCCAGCCGACCACAAGCGAACTCGTCGCCATGGTCGGAGTGGAGACACAGCACAGGGAGATCGTGGTGGAGGCGCGCAGCTACGATCCACGAGATAAGAACGTCAGACACATCGGCCTTCCGCTCCAGTGGAAAGACCGTGGTGTAGCTCGTGAACTCGTCGACGAGCACGAGAAAGTAGCGCTCGCAACGTGATCCAGGGATGGGGGCTGGGCCCCTGACGCCCAAGTGCGCTGACGACTCTCTATCTCAGACAGAGCAGTGACAAAGGCGGTCAGGGTGAGGTTGGCAGAGTGCTGACTAAGGAAGTGGTTGCTGGAAGTGGCTAAACGGTCGGGCATGGCGCATGGCAATAGCGCAGAACGGTGGGTGAAAGGCAGTGAGCTGGGCGGCAGTGCTAGCAGCGCGGTAGCTAGTCTCTAGTGCACGGAGGTGAGTAGCGAGGTCAGCTATAGTGGGGAAAGCAAAAAGATCAGAAAAGAGCATGGGTAGGATCAAGCGGCCAGCAGAGGCAGAAGCAGGTGTGGAGTAACGCTCAACTGGAAGTCCTTGGCGCTCGCTACAGCGGTGAAGCTCGGACGCTCGGACAGGGGAAGTGCATGACTAATGGCAAGCTGTGCAACAGCATCGCAAGAATCCTAGACAGCGCGAGCGAGCGCAGCAGCAGCAAAGGCCTCGCTCTCAGCAATGGTGGGGTCAGCAGGGAGGGGATCAGGTGCAGAGGGGCGGGGAAGCAAGCCATCAACATGCATAGCCAGGGAGTGCCCATCCTGGCGCTGACCTGTCAGGTGTCGGCGGAGGTCGTCGAGCCAGGCGGCGAAGTCGGTCGCGTGCCCCTCAGCGTCCAGGCGAAGAACGGCGTCCGCCATCGCACAGTGTGACAGCGGCACATCGAAATGGCGGCTCAGGGTCACGGCGGCTCAGCGGCTCGGCGGCACAGCGGCACAGCGACACGGCGGCTCAGCGGCTCGGTGGTATGGCGCTCGAGCGGGGAAACAGGGCAGGAGGCCGAGGAGGGCCGGAGGCGTGCAAGGCTGGTGGGGCGAGAAGGGCCGGCGGTGCGCTAGTGGCCAGGAGGGCGCGTCAGGAGCCGGGGAGGTGGCAGGTGGGTGCACGACTAGGAGCGACGGGCCGGCTAGGCGCGACGACGGTGCAACGGGCCGGCTAGGGCTCAAGGGGCGGGCTGCTACTCGAGCGGCCAGCGAGGGTGCGAGGAGCCAGCTAGGGCGCGAGGGGCCGACGAGGGCGCTAGGGGCCAGCTAGGGCGCAAGGGGCCGGCGAGGGCCCGAGGGGCCAGCTAGGGCGCAAGGGGTCGGCGACGGGGCGAGGGGCCAGCGAGTGCGCGAGGGGCCAGCGTGGGAGCGAGGGGCGAGCTAGGGCGCAAGGGGTCGACTAGGGCGCAAAGGGCCCGCTAAGGCGCGAGGGGTCAGCTAGGGCGCAAGGGGCTGGCGACGGCGCGAGGGGCCAGCAAGGGCGCGAGGGGCCAGCGTGGGCGCGAGGGGCCAGCTGGGGCGCACGGGGCCGACTAGGGCGCGAGGGGCCTGCTAAGGCGCGAGGGGCCAGCTAGGGTGCAAGGGGCCCGCTAGGGCACAAGGGGCCGGCTAGGGCGCAAGGGGCCGACAAGGGCGCGAGGGGCCCGCTAAGGCGCGAGGGGCCGGCAAGGGCGCGAGGAGCCGGTTGGGGCGCGAGGGGCCGGCTACTGCGCGAGGGGCCAGCGAGGGCGCGAGGGGCTGGAGACGGCGCGAGGGGCTGACGAAGGGCGCTAGGGGCCCGCTAAGGCGCGAGGAGCCGGCAACGGCGCGAGGGGCCGACAAGGGCACGAGGGGCCTGCGAAGGCGCGAGGAGCCGGCTAGGGCGCGAGGGGCCGGCTGGGGCGCGAGGGGCCAGCGACGGCGCGAGGGGCTGGCGAGGGCGTGAGTGAGGGGCGGCTAGGGCGCGAGGGGCTAGCGAGGCGCGATAGGATACGGCGCAAGGCGGAAGCGGGTGGGTGGACCTACCTACTCATGATACCATGTTCACATGAATGAATGATTGAATACAAGTGTGAACAAGGGAGATGTATGCGTTCTGGTTGTACCCTCTAAGAACATACAACTATCTAGCCTATAACGTCTACATTGCAACATATGTATAAGTTGACACCTAGTTCAATGTGAATGGCACTTTTCCTAAACCCTCGGTTACCCATGATTGTCATAATCTTGGTGGGTGGAGGGTATTGCAAAACTGCAGGAGAGAGCATGGCATAGGAATAAAGCAGCATGGTGCAGCATGGTTGTAGTTCATCAATGATGGATGAAGCCGCCGACCTGCAGGAAGCAGGCATGGAGGGGAGGATTCGGTGTTGCTTTGGTATGCTCAAGAGATAATTCTGAGAGGATTGCAAGGAAGGAAGTGATGGAGGGTATAGTTCAGATGGCAGAGAACAGCCGACAGCAGTGGAATGCAGCCTGGCAGGGCAGCCATAGATTCACACGTACTGACCATGACGCCACGCTGAGTTATTCGGTTCCTCGCTATGAAGTGCAGCACGCTGGAGGAGAAGTCCAGAGTCTCGTCCTCCTGCACGCAGCAACAGCAGCACCAGAACGTGTAGGATCACAGGAAAGAGCGTTGACACGGGCAAGAAACGCAGCACCGCAGCAACGGGAGCATTCTAGGCACACGTGGATGGCACCTGTTTTAGGACGCTCTGTATTTGGATGGTGCCTCACCTGGATGGCACCTCACCTGGATGATGCCTCACCTGGATGGCGTGGCCTGAGTGGCGGACAACGAGCATCTGGAAGCGCCCCTGCATCTGAGCAATGGTCAGCGGCCTGGCAGGAGTTGCAGCACGCACGGAACGAGGCAGGAGGAGAGCAGGGCGCAAGGAGTGGAGCAGGGCCGATGTTTGTCGGGTAATTACCTGGATTTTGATACTTCAACGGGTCGTTTTGACCCTGAACTCCCTTTCTTATGGATTCGGTTTTCTCTGAACCCGTGGGTTAACGGGTCCATTTTGGCTCGAAAACGGGCTTCAGGTGTAGGTTTCGGGGGATTTTGGCCGAGAATCGGAGTTTGACGGGTAGGCATGAACAAACGAGTCGAGTTTTGACTGACTCGTTTCCCTTGCACGAGTTTTTTTCCGAGTCGAGTTTGCTTCCCAACTCGATTCGAGTCGACTCAAGTCGAGTCAGGGGTTTGACGATTCAAGTTGAGTCAGCTCGACTCGCAACGAGTCAACCCTGACTCGACAATAGGAAAACGAGTCACGAGTCAAGGATCAAGACTGGCCGACTCGACCCGTCGAGTCTGACTCGACTCGGTTTTGAGCCGACTCGAGACGATTCCGACTTGACTCGACTCGTTGCTCATGCCTATTGATGGGCACGACTTTGGCCGAAAACGGACTTCAACAGATGGCTTTGGTAGGGAACCCGCATCTGACGACTGGCAAAAAAACCAATCCGAAGTCATGGAGTGGAGGTCAGGCAGCACGGAGGAGCAAGGCCCAAGGATGCATGCAATGCGATGAAGAATCACGAATCCACAGATTGACTCCCTGGCTACCGTTTTCCAGCTTGCACCCAATTTTCCACACTCCACCCTCCTCCCTTGACTCCACGCCCCACTCCCTTGGCTACACGCCCCAATCCCTTGACTCCACACCCTCACTTGTCCAGGCGGTCGGTCCCTGCGAGCAGCAGCAGCTTGGGCACTGGGCAGTGCAGAAAGAGGTCAGACAGGCCCGTGTACCTGAGGGGGGACACACACAGACATCGGTAGTATCCATACATGCACACAAGCACATGCACACATGCACATGCACACGCACACGCACACATACACACACTCACATATGCACACGTCCTGTGTCCTCTTTTCCAAACATGCACTATAGCCCGGCAAGGCTCTGCGATTTATGCCCATCCAGACTAGACATGGTCAAAATGCGATGCGATGCGATATCGCATCGCATTCTGTATTATCGCGCAGTATATCGCAGCGATGCGATATCGCATCGCTGCGATATGTTAAATCGTATATCGCGTTTTAGGGTGCGATATTGAAAAAATATCGCACCCTAAAACGCGATATATTGCGCGATGCGATATAATATCACATCACATTTAGGGGCCACTGTTTTCCGCTTAAAGACAGGTTTCTCCACACCACATGGCAAGGCCATGGCGGCTCGCGCGGAGTTAGGTAAGTGAAAATGACGGGAGATGGGGAAAAGTGGTGCGTCTCTCATGTGGAGCTCATGTGGAGCGTGTTAGAGGGGCACGGGTTGGATTCTGTAGATGCAGGGGAGTTTAGTGCGGTTGAAGTGGAAATTGGTTGGAGTTCCAACCAATTGACTGTGGTGGTCGAAATTTCAGTCCAGCCCCCTAAATCCCTTCAACCGCACACCACCACATCCCATTCCGAAATCCCACTCGCCCACCGCCCACCACCACCCATAACAAATTTGAACCTCCACCCAACTCCCCTCCCTCTACCGCACTGCACTCCTTCCCATCTAGAATTCCCAACCCTTCCTCTAATTTGCTCCAAGCTCCTCACACAAACACCTCCACATCAATTACGCCAACCCCAAACTGCCACTTGCCATTTCCGCCCGCCATTTCAGCAAGTGAAGTGAAACCTAGCATTTAGCCCCTAGCTTACCAATCGGCCAATTTCGCGCGCGCAATACGCGAAAGTATCGCGCGCGATATGTTTAAATCGCATATCGCATTACATCGCGCTAAAAAAAGCGCGATATAATCGCGATATCGCAAAAATCGAGCAATTAAATCGCATTGCATTGCTGCGATTTTTTTTCAGGAATTTTTTGAAAATCGCAATCACAAAATGTGATAAAACGCGATGCGATGCGATATACCCATGTCTAGTCCCAGCCATTCATATCCAGCATGCCTTCAAACTCGCTGCATATGGGCATGCGGGTACATATGCTCGCATGTCTGTGCATTTGTGTGCTTGTGCGCGCATGTGCGTGGTGCATACCATCCCTTCCAGTACGGCTGAGACTGCTCCAAGGGAGTGCGCCAGGTGAACCTACACAGGGCAGATGGATGAGACACGGGGAACGGATGAGACACGGGGAATGGATGTGAGAGAGGAAGTTAGAGATAGCGGAATAGAGTTGGTGAGCGGGGACAGCATCTTAACAGTTTCAAGACAAGCAAAGGAGGACAAGATTCACGAGGGGTGAAAACTTATCTTAAAGGCAACACTTCATATCAAGATGTTTATTTGAGTAGCAGCTTCCCAGGCTTCCTTACGCCCTCACCATGCTTCCTTACGCCCTCACCATGCTTCCTTATTAACCATGCTCCTCTCCCTGTTCTGGCATGCTGCCTCCTGCTGTGGGGCGCTCACCCTTTTCCTGCTGCATCTGGAACCAGGGTGGATGGCACAGAGACTCGGGCAGAGTCAACACTCCTCAGATGCCCCGACCGCACACTCCACTCCACCTGCAGCACGGACAGGGGCCAACGGGGGAGAAAGGGAAAGGGAGAGTGAGGCAGAGAGAAGCAGAGACATGCAGAGTGGGGCAGGGAGGGATAAGGAGGGGCAGATACAGGCAGAGAGAGGTGGAGGAGGAAGAGGAGGGAGTGAAGAAGAAAGAAAGGATGCAGGCACAGAAATGGGGAAGAGGGTGTGTGTAGTTTCAGTGTTCATGCAGCGGGCAACGATGCAAGATGCAGTGGGCAACGATGCTACATGCAGTGGGTAACGATGCTACATGCAGTGGGCTACATGCAGTGGGCAACGATGCTACATGCAGTGGGCAACGATGCTACATGCAGTGGGCAACGATGCTACATACAGTGGGCAACGATGCTACATGCAGTGGGCAACGATGCTACATGCAGTGGGCAACGATGCTACATGCAGTGGGCAACGATGCTACATGAAGTGGGCAACAATGCTACATGCAGTGGGCAACGATGCTACATGCAGTGGGCAACGATGCAAGATGCAGTGGGCAACGATGCTACATGCAGTGGGCAACGATGCTACATGCAGTGGGCAACGATGCTACATGCAGTGGGCAACGATGCTACATGCAGTGGGCTACATGCAGTGGGCAACGATGCTACATGCAGTGGGCAACGATGCTACATGCAGTGGGCAACGATGCTACATACAGTGGGCAACGATGCTACATGCAGTGGGCAACGATGCTACATGCAGTGGGCAACGATGCTACATACAGTGGGCAACGATGCTACATGCAGTGGGCAACGATGCTACATGCAGTGGGCAACGATGCTACATGCAGTGGGCAACGATGCTACATGCAGTGGGCAACAATGCTACATGCAGTGGGCAACGATGCTACATGCAGTGGGCAACGATGCTACATGCAGTGGGCAACGATGCTACATGCAGTGGGCAACGATGTTACATGCAGTGGGCAACGATGCTACATGCAGTGGGCAACGATGCTACATGCAGTGGGCAACGATGCTACATGCAGTGGGCAACGATGCTACATGCAGTGGGGAACGATGCTACATGCAGTGGGCAACGATGCTACATGCAGTGGGCAACGATGCTACATGCAGTTGGCAACGGTGCTAGATGCAGTGGGCAACGATGCTACATGCAGTGGGCAACGATGCTACATGCAGTGGGCAACGATGCTACATGCAGTGGGCAACGATGCTACATGCAGTGGGCAACGATGCTACATGCAGTGGGCAACAATGCTACATGCAGTGGGCAACGATGCTACATGCAGAGGGCAACGATGCTACATGCAGTGGGCAACGATGCTACATGCAGTGGGCAACGATGCTGCATGCAGTGGGCAACGATGCTACATGCAGTGGGCAACGATGCTACATGCAGTGGGCAACGATGCTACATGCAGTGGGCAACGATGCTACATGCAGTGGGCAACGATGCTACATGCAGTGGGCAACGATGCTACATGCAGTTGGCAACGGTGCTAGATGCAGTGGGCAACGATGCTACATGCAGTGGGCAACGATGCTACATGCAGTGGGCAACGATGCTACATGCAGTGGGCAACGATGCTACATGCAGTGGGCGACGTAGACATGGGCAAAAAAAATCGCATCGCATCGCATTTAATCGCGTTTTTGCGATGGCGATGTTTTTTTTTTTTTTAAATCATCGCGCGATGCGATGAATTAATATCGCGCGATCTAACTTAAATCGCATTTTAATCGCGCTTAAAAAACGCGATTTAAATGCGATAAGCGATTTTTAAAAAATCGCGCGCGATATTGCACTGAAATTCACTCTGAAACCCACTACGAAACCACACTGGTTATTTGCACTCTAGCTTACGACTGCCCGTGAGTCAATTTCCCCGCAGCCATGGTATTTTTCTGTTTTTTTGCGGTGTTTTTTTATTCTGTTTTAAAACGCGATGCGATTTAAAATCGCAAATTGCGATTTAATTAAATATCGCATGCGATTTATTAATACATCGCGGGTAAAATGCGATGTGCAATTTTTTTGTTTTGAAAAATGAATCGCGCGATGCGATTTCAAATCGCATCGCTTTTTTAAACATTGCACCTGCATGCGATGCGATTTAAATCGCAATCGCGTTTTGATCATGTCTAGGGCAACGATGCTACATGCAGTGGGCAACGATGCTACATGCAGTGGGCAACGATGCTACATGCAGTGGGCAACGATGCTACATGCAGTGGGCAACGATGCTACATGCAGTGGGCAACGATGCTACATGCAGTGGGCAACGATGCTACATGCAGTGGGCAACGATGCTACATGCAGTTGGCAACGATGCTACATGCAGTGGGCAACGATGCTACATGCAGTGGGCAACGATGCTACATGCAGTGGGCAACGATGCTACATGCAGTGGGCAACGATGCTACATGCACTGGGCAACGATGCAACATGCACTGGGCAACGATGCTACATGCAGTGGGCAACGATGCTACATGCAGTGGGCAACGATGCTACATGCAGTGGGCAACGATGCTACATGCAGTGGGCAACGATGCTACATGCAGTGGGAAACGATGCTACATGCAGTGGGCAACGATGCTACATGCAGTGGGCTACATGCAGTGGGCAACGATGCTACATGCAGTTGGCAACGGTGCTACATGCAGTGGGCAACGATACTACATGCAGTGGGCAACGATGCGACATGCAGTGGGCAACGATGCTACAGGCAGTGGGCAGCGATGCTACATGCAGTGGGCAACGATGCTACATGCAGTGGGCAACGATGCTACATGCAGTGGGCAACGATGCTACATGCAGTGGGCAACGATGCTACATGCAGTGGGCAACGATGCTAGATGCAGTGGGCAACGATGCTACATGCAGTGGGCAACGATGCTACATGCAGTGGGCAACGATGCTACATGCAGTGGGCAACGATGCTACATGCAGTGGGCAACGATGCTACATGCAGTGGGCAACGATGCTACATGCAGTTGGCAACGGTGCTAGATGCAGTTGGCAACGGTGCTACATGCAGTGGGCAACGATGCTACATGCAGTGGGCAACGATGCTGCATGCAGTGGGCAACGATGCTGCATGCAGTGGGCAAGGATGCTACATGCAGTGGGCAACGATGCTACATGCAGTGGGCAACGATGCTCCATGCAGTGGGCAACGATGCTACATGCAGTGGGCAACGATGCTACATGCAGTTGGCAACGGTGCTAGATGCAGTGGGCAACGATGCTACATGCAGTGGGCAACGATGCTACATGCAGTGGGCAACGATGCTGCATGCAGTGGGCAACGATGCTACATGCAGTGGGCAAGGATGCTACATGCAGTGGGCAACGATGCTACATGCAGTGGGCAACGATGCTGCATGCAGTGGGCAACGATGCTGCATGCAGTGGGCAACGATGCTACATGCAGTGGGCAACAATGCTACATGCAGTGGGCAACGATGCTACATGCAGTGGGCAACGATGCTACAGGCAGTGGGCAGCGATGCTACATGCAGTGGGCAACGATGCTACATGCAGTGGGCAACGATGCTACATGCAGTGGGCAACGATGCTACATGCAGTGGGCAACGAGGCTACATGCAGAGGGCAACGATGCTACATGCAGTGGGCAACGATGCTACATGCAGTGGGCAACGATGCTGCATGCAGTGGGCAACGATGCTACATGCAGTGGGCAACGATGCTACATGCAGTGGGCAACATGCTACATGCAGTGGGCAACGATGCTACATGCAGTGGGCAACGATGCTACATGCAGTGGGCAACGATGCTACATGCAGTGGGCAACGATGCTACATGCAGTGGGCAACGATGCTACATGCAGTGGGCAACGATGCTACATGCAGTGGGCAACGATGCTACATGCACTGGGCAACGATGCAACATGCACTGGGCAACGATGCTACATGCAGTGGGCAACGATGCTACATGCAGTGGGCAACGATGCTACATGCAGTGGGCAACGATGCTACATGCAGTGGGCAACGATGCTACATGCAGTGGGAAACGATGCTACATGCAGTGGGCAACGATGCTACATGCAGTGGGCTACATGCAGTGGGCAACGATGCTACATGCAGTTGGCAACGGTGCTACATGCAGTGGGCAACGATGCTACATGCAGTGGGCAACGATGCGACATGCAGTGGGCAACGATGCTACAGGCAGTGGGCAGCGATGCTACATGCAGTGGGCAACGATGCTACATGCAGTGGGCAACGATGCTACATGCAGTGGGCAAGGATGCTACATGCAGTGGGCAACGATGCTACATGCAGTGGGCAACGATGCTACATGCAGTGGGCAACGATGCTACATGCAGTGGGCGACGATGCTACATGCAGTGGGCAACGATGCTACATGCAGTGGGCAACGATGCTACATGCTGAGGGCTACATGCAGTGGGCAACGATGCTACATGCAGTGGGCAACGATGCTACATGCAGTGGGCAACGATGCTACATGCGGTGGGCAACGATGCTACATGCAGTGGGCAACGATGCTACATGCAGTGGGAAACGATGCTACATGCAGTGGGCAACGATGCTACATGCAGTGGGCTACATGCAGTGGGCAACGATGCTACATGCAGTGGGCAACGATGCTACATGCAGTGGGCAACGATGCTACATGCAGTGGGCAACGATGCTACATGCAGTGGGCAACGATGCTACATGCAGTGGGCAACGATGCTACATGCAGTGGGAAACGATGCTACATGCAGTGGGCAACGATGCTACATGCAGTGGGCTACATGCAGTGGGCAACGATGCTACATGCAGTTGGCAACGGTGCTAGATGCAGTGGGCAACGATGCTACATGCAGTGGGCAACGATGCTACATGCAGTGGGCAACGATGCTGCATGCAGTGGGCAACGATGCTACATGCAGTGGGCAACGATGCTACATGCAGTGGGCAACGATGCTTCATGCAGTTGGCAACGGTGCTAGATGCAGTGGGCAACGATGCTACATGCAGTGGGCAACGATGCTACATGCAGTGGGCAACGATGCTGCATGCAGTGGGCAACGATGCTGCATGCAGTGGGCAACGATGCTACATGCAGTGGGCAACAATGCTACATGCAGTGGGCAACGATGCTACATGCAGTGGGCAACGATGCTACAGGCAGTGGGCAGCGATGCTACATGCAGTGGGCAACGATGCTACATGCAGTGGGCAACGATGCTACATGCAGTGGGCAACGATGCTACATGCAGTGGGCAACGAGGCTACATGCAGAGGGCAACGATGCTACATGCAGTGGGCAACGATGCTACATGCAGTGGGCAACGATGCTGCATGCAGTGGGCAACGATGCTACATGCAGTGGGCAACGATGCTACATGCAGTGGGCAACAATGCTACATGCAGTGGGCAACGATGCTACATGCAGTGGGCAACGATGCTACATGCAGTGGGCAACGATGCTACATGCAGTGGGCAACGATGCTACATGCAGTGGGCAACGATGCTACATGCAGTGGGCAACGATGCTACATGCAGTGGGCAACGATGCTACATGCAGTGGGCAACGATGCTACATGCAGTGGGCAACGATGCTACATGCAGTTGGCAACGATGCTACATGCAGTGGGCAACGATGCTACATGCAGTGGGCAACGATTCTACATGCGGTGGGCAACGATGCTACACGCAGTGGGCTACATGCAGTGGGCAACGATGCTACATGCAGTTGGCAACGGTGCTAGATGCAGTGGGCAACGATGCTACATGCAGTGGGCAACGATGCTACATGCAGTGGGCAACGATGCTACATGCAGTGGGCAACGATGCTGCATGCAGTGGGCAACGATGCTACATGCAGTGGGCAACGATGCTACATGCAGTGGGCAACGATGCTACATGCAGTGGGCAACGCTGCTACTTGCAGTGGGCAACGCTGCTACTTGCAGTGGGCAACGATGCTACATGCAGTGGGCAAGGATGCTACATGCAGTGGGCAACGATGCTACATGCAGTGGGCAACGATGCTACATGCAGTGGGCAACGATGCTACATGCAGTGGGCAACGATGCTACATGCAGTGGGCAACGATGCTACATGCAGTTGGCAACGGTGCTAGATGCAGTGGGCAACGATGCTACATGCAGTGGGCAACGATGCTACATGCAGTGGGCAACGATGCTACATGCAGTGGGCAACGATGCTACATGCAGTGGGCAACGATGCTGCATGCAGTGGGCAACGATGCTGCATGCAGTGGGCAACGATGCTACATGCAGTTGGCAACGGTGCTAGATGCAGTTGGCAACGGTGCTACGTGCAGTGGGCAACGATGCTACATGCAGTGGGCAACGATGCTGCATGCAGTGGGCAACGATGCTGCATGCAGTGGGCAAGGATGCTACATGCAGTGGGCAACGATGCTACATGCAGTGGGCAACGATGCTACATGCAGTGGGCAACGATGCTGCATGCAGTGGGCAACGATGCTACATGCAGTGGGCAACGATGCTACATGCAGTGGGCAACGATGCTACATGCAGTGGGCAACGATGCTACATGCAGTGGGCAACGCTGCTACTTGCAGTGGGCAACGCTGCTACTTGCAGTGGGCAACGATGCTACATGCAGTGGGCAACGATGCTACATGCAGTGGGCAACGATGCTACATGCAGTGGGCAACGATGCTACATGCAGTGGGCTACATGCAGTGGGCAACGATGCTACATGCAGTTGGCAACGGTGCTAGATGCAGTGGGCAACGATGCTACATGCAGTGGGCAACGATGCTACATGCAGTGGGCAACGATGCTACATGCAGTGGGCAACGATGCTACATGCAAAGGGCAACGATGCTACATGCAGTGGGCAACGATGCTACATGCAGTTGGCAACGGTGCTAGATGCAGTTGGCAACGGTGCTACATGCAGTGGGCAACGATGCTACATGCAGTGGGCAACGATGCTGCATGCAGTGGGCAACGATGCTGCATGCAGTGGGCAAGGATGCTACATGCAGTGGGCAACGATGCTACATGCAGTGGGCAACGATGCTCCATGCAGTGGGCAACGATGCTACATGCAGTGGGCAACGATGCTACATGCAGTTGGCAACGGTGCTAGATGCAGTGGGCAACGATGCTACATGCAGTGGGCAACGATGCTACATGCAGTGGGCAACGATGCTGCATGCAGTGGGCAACGATGCTACATGCAGTGGGCAAGGATGCTACATGCAGTGGGCAACGATGCTACATGCAGTGGGCAACGATGCTACATGCAGTTGGCAACGCTGCTACTTGCAGTGGGCAACGCTGCTACTTGCAGTGGGCAACGATGCTACATGCAGTGGGCACAATGCTACATGCAGTGGGCAACGATGCTCCATGCAGTGGGCAACGATGCTCCATGCAGTGGGCAACGATGCTGCATGCAGTGGGCAACGATGCTACATGCAGTGGGCAAGGATGCTACATGCAGTGGGCAAGGATGCTGCATGCCGTGGGTAACGATGCTGCATGCAGTGGGCAAGGATGCTGCATGCAGTGGGCAAGGATGCTGCATGCAGTGGGCAAGCATGCTGCATGCAGTGGGCAAGGATGCTACATGCAGTGGGCAAGGATGCTGCATGCAGTGGGCAAGGATGCTGCATGCAGTGGGCAAGCATGCTGCATGCAGTGTCCAAGACCGCTATGTGCTGCTCACAGCTTTTTCGAGGGATGGGAAGTGCGAGGGGCGTGACGCCAGCACAGCGTGCATGTGGCCCAGCGACGCCAGGGCTGTGCCCTGAGGGGCGCACCAGGGGGGTGTGGACGAAAGGAGGGAGAGACGGGGTTTCGGGGGTGGTGAAGGGGGGGCGAGGACGGGAAGTGGCTTACCACATCAGCATAAAGCAGCATGGAAGCAGGCAAGCCACCTCCCTCGTCCCATTTCCCCATGACCCACTTCCCCAGCAACCTTCCTCCCCACTCGCTGAGAGGCGCCTCGCTGAGAGCCTACTTGCACTGGGATATTGGGGGAGTGGCCATGAGCCCGCTTGGGCGAGAGGTCACACACCCACTTGCCCACCTGCCAGTGGCCCACTTGCCCCGCTCCCGCTTGCCCACCTCAACGACGTCAACGACCACGAGGCCCGCCAGCGATGGCAGCAGGTGCTGCTCCGCCACTCGTACCGCCACGGCCCCGCCCATGCTGTCCCACACGCCCACAGAGGGAAAGGAGTGGGGAAGAGAGGAGACGGAGCAGGGCAAATGGAAGGGGAGGGGAGCATAGTGTGGGAGTTAGGAGCGGTTTTCCTCCCACCTGTGACCCAGCAGCACTATGCCTGCCCTCTCACCTGTGACCCAGCAGCACTATGCCTGCCCTCTCACCTGTGACCCAGCAACACTATGGCTGGAGGCGAGTCGCCAAAGAGCCTCTTTGCCATGGCTGCCACATCCGCCACTAGCGTCTGATTGTGGTGGGGGTATGCGACCATACATAAATGCATACATGCACCGATGCACACACGCACAAAACCACACATGCGTACAGGTGTGTGCATGCACGCTCAGACAAACAGCCCCACAGCATGTGCATCCCACCGCTCACATGGAGAGAGCATAGATAGAGGCAGCACGAGGCACATGAGAACGCAATGAACCTGCTGAACGCCAGACAACAAGGGCGGAGAAGAAAGGAGGGAATGAGCTAAATCCCGGTGTAGGCAATGGTGAGAGTCGAGGGAGGGAGCCTAGGAGGCAAGGATGCAGGAAGAGGGACGCAGTGTAGAAGGCACGAGGCATTTGATGCTGAGGAAGGGACGCACCTGAGCGCAAAGACACCTGAGCGCTAAGGCACCTGAGCGCAAAGACACCTGAGCGCAAAGGCACCTGAGCGCAAAGACACCTGAGCGCTAAGGCACCTGAGCGCAAAGACACCTGAGCGCTAAGGCACCTGAGCGCAAAGACACCTGAGCGCAAAGACACCTGAGCGCAAAGACACCTGAGCGCAAAGACACCTGAGCGCAAAGACACCTGAGCGCAAAGACACCTGAGCGCAAAGACACCTGAGCGCTAAGGCACCTGAGCGCAAAGACACCTGAGCGCTAAGGCACCTGAGCGCAAAGACACCTGAGCGCTAAGGCACCTGAGCGCAAAGACACCTGAGCGCTAAGACACCTGAGGAAGCACCTGAGCGCAAAGACACCTGAGCGCAAAGGCACCTGAGCGCAAAGACACCTGAGCGCAAAGACACCTGAGCGCAAAGACACCTGAGCGCAAAGACACCTGAGCGCTAAGGCACCTGAGCGCAAAGACACCTGAGCGCAAAGACACCTGAGCGCAAAGACACCTGAGCGCAAAGACACCTGAGCGCAAAGACACCTGAGCGCAAAGACACCTGAGCGCAAAGACACCTGAGCGCAAAGACACCTGAGCGCAAAGACACCTGAGCGCAAAGACACCTGAGCGCAAAGACACCTGAGCGCAAAGACACCTGAGCGCAAAGACACCTGAGCGCAAAGACACCTGAGCGCTAAGGCACCTGAGCGCAAAGACACCTGAGCGCTAAGGCACCTGAGCGCAAAGACACCTGAGCGCTAAGGCACCTGAGCGCAAAGACACCTGAGCGCTAAGGCACCTGAGCGCAAAGACACCTGAGCGCTAAGGCACCTGAGCGCAAAGACACCTGAGCGCTAAGGCACCTGAGCGCAAAGACACCTGAGCGCAAAGGCACCTGAGCGCAAAGACACCTGAGCGCAAAGGCACCTGAGCGCAAAGACACCTGAGCGCAAAGACACCTGAGCGCAAAGACACCTGAGCGCTAAGGCACCTGAGCGCAAAGACACCTGAGCGCAAAGACACCTGAGCGCAAAGACACCTGAGCGCAAAGACACCTGAGCGCAAAGACACCTGAGCGCAAAGACACCTGAGCGCTAAGGCACCTGAGCGCAAAGACACCTGAGCGCTAAGGCACCTGAGCGCAAAGACACCTGAGCGCTAAGGCACCTGAGCGCAAAGACACCTGAGCGCTAAGACACCTGAGTGGAGAGGCACCTGAGCGCAAAGACACCTGAGCGCAAAGGCACCTGAGCGCAAAGACACCTGAGCGCAAAGACACCTGAGCGCAAAGACACCTGAGCGCAAAGACACCTGAGCGCTAAGGCACCTGAGCGCAAAGACACCTGAGCGCAAAGACACCTGAGCGCAAAGACACCTGAGCGCAAAGACACCTGAGCGCAAAGACACCTGAGCGCAAAGACACCTGAGCGCAAAGACACCTGAGCGCAAAGACACCTGAGCGCAAAGACACCTGAGCGCAAAGACACCTGAGCGCAAAGACACCTGAGCGCAAAGACACCTGAGCGCAAAGACACCTGAGCGCAAAGACACCTGAGCGCAAAGACACCTGAGCGCTAAGGCACCTGAGCGCAAAGACACCTGAGCGCTAAGGCACCTGAGCGCAAAGACACCTGAGCGCTAAGGCACCTGAGCGCAAAGACACCTGAGCGCTAAGAGAGGCAAACCTGAGCGCTAAGGCACCTGAGCGCAAAGACACCTGAGCGCAAGCACCTGAGCGCAAAGACACCTGAGCGCAAAGACACCTGAGCGCAAAGACACCTGAGCGCAAAGACACCTGAGCGCAAAGACACCTGAGCGCAAAGACACCTGAGCGCAAGCACCTGAGCGCAAAGACACCTGAGCGCTAAGCACCTGAGCGCAAAGACACCTGAGCGCTAAGGCACCTGAGCGCAAAGACACCTGAGCGCAAAGACACCTGAGTGGAGAGGCACCTGAGCGCAAAGACACCTGAGCGCAAAGGCACCTGAGCGCAAAGACACCTGAGCGCAAAGACACCTGAGCGCAAAGACACCTGAGCGCAAAGACACCTGAGCGCTAAGGCACCTGAGCGCAAAGACACCTGAGCGCAAAGACACCTGAGCGCAAAGACACCTGAGCGCAAAGACACCTGAGCGCAAAGACACCTGAGCGCAAAGACACCTGAGCGCAAAGACACCTGAGCGCAAAGACACCTGAGCGCAAAGACACCTGAGCGCAAAGACACCTGAGCGCAAAGACACCTGAGCGCAAAGACACCTGAGCGCAAAGACACCTGAGCGCAAAGACACCTGAGCGCTAAGGCACCTGAGCGCAAAGACACCTGAAGCGCAAAGACACCTGAGCGCAAAGGCACCTGAGCGCAAAGACACCTGAGCGCAAAGGCACCTGAGCGCAAAGACACCTGAGCGCAAAGACACCTGAGCGCAAAGACACCTGAGCGCAAAGACACCTGAGCGCTAAGGCACCTGAGCGCAAAGACACCTGAGCGCAAAGACAACCTGAGCGCAAAGACACCTGAGCGCAAGCACCTGAGCGCAAAGACACCTGAGTGGAGAGGCACCTGAGCGCAAAGACACCTGAGCGCAAAGGCACCTGAGCGCAAAGACACCTGAGCGCAAAGACACCTGAGCGCAAAGACACCTGAGCGCAAAGACACCTGAGCGCAAAGACACCTGAGCGCTAAGGCACCTGAGCGCAAAGACACCTGAGCGCAAAGACACCTGAGCGCAAAGACACCTGAGCGCAAAGACACCTGAGCGCAAAGACACCTGAGCGCAAAGACACCTGAGCGCAAAGACACCTGAGCGCAAAGACACCTGAGCGCAAAGACACCTGAGCGCAAAGACACCTGAGCGCAAAGACACCTGAGCGCAAAGACACCTGAGCGCAAAGACACCTGAGCGCAAAGACACCTGAGCGCTAAGGCACCTGAGCGCAAAGACACCTGAGCGCAAAGACACCTGAGCGCTAAGGCACCTGAGCGCAAAGACACCTGAGCGCAAAGGCACCTGAGCGCAAAGACACCTGAGCGCAAAGACACCTGAGCGCAAAGACACCTGAGCGCAAAGACACCTGAGCGCAAAGGCACCTGAGCGCAAAGACACCTGAGCGCAAAGACACCTGAGCGCAAAGACACCTGAGCGCAAAGACACCTGAGCGCAAAGACACCTGAGCGCAAAAGACACCTGAGCGCAAAGACACCTGAGCGCAAAGACACCTGAGCGCAAAGACACCTGAGGCAGACACCTGAGCGCAAAGACACCTGAGCGCAAAGACACCTGAGCGCAAAGACACCTGAGCGCAAAGACACCTGAGCGCAAAGACACCTGAGCGCAAAGACACCTGAGCGCTAAGGCACCTGAGCGCAAAGACACCTGAGCGCAAAGACACCTGAGCGCAAAGACACCTGAGCGCAAAGACACCTGAGCGCAAAGACACCTGAGCGCAAAGGCACCTGAGCGCAAAGACACCTGAGCGCAAAGACACCTGAGCGCAAAGACACCTGAGCGCAAAGACACCTGAGCGCAAAGACACCTGAGCGCAAAGACACCTGAGCGCAAAGACACCTGAGCGCAAAGACACCTGAGCGCTAAGGCACCTGAGCGCAAAGACACCTGAGTGACGAAGCACCTGAGCGCAAAGACACCTGAGTGGAGAGGCACCTGAGCGCAAAGACACCTGAGCGCAAAGGCACCTGAGCGCAAAGACACCTGAGCGCAAAGACACCTGAGCGCAAAGACACCTGAGCGCAAAGACACCTGAGCGCTAAGGCACCTGAGCGCAAAGACACCTGAGCGCAAAGACAACCTGAGCGCAAAGACACCTGAGCGCAAAGACACCTGAGCGCAAAGACACCTGAGCGCAAAGACACCTGAGCGCAAAGACACCTGAGCGCAAAGACACCTGAGCGCAAAGACACCTGAGCGCAAAGACACCTGAGCGCAAAGACACCTGAGCGCAAAGACACCTGAGCGCAAAGACACCTCCTGAGCGCAAAGACACCTGAGCGCAAAAAGGAACCTGAGCGCAAAGACACCTGAGCGCAAAGCACTGAGGCAAACACCTGAGCGCAAAGACACCTGAGCGCAAAGACACCTGAGCGCAAAGACACCTGAGCGCTAAGGCACCTGAGCGCAAAGACACCTGAGCGCAAAGAACTGAGCGCAAAGACACCTGAGCGCAAAGACACCTGAGCGCAAAGACACCTGAGCGCAAAGACACCTGAGCGCAAAGACACCTGAGCGCAAAGACACCTGAGCGCAAAGACACCTGAGGGCAGCAAAGACACCTGAGCGCAAAGACACCTGAGCGCAAAGAACCTGAGCGCAAAGACACCTGAGCGCAAAGACCTGAGCGCAAAGCACCTGAGCGCAAAGACACCTGAGGCAAAGACACCTGAGCGCAAAGGACACCTGAGCGCAAAGACACCTGAGCGCAAAGGCACCTGAGCGCAAAGACACCTGAGCGCAAAGACACCTGAGCGCAAAGGACACCTGAGCGCAAAGACACCTGAGCGCAAAGACACCTGAGCGCAAAGACACCTGAGCGCAAAAGACACCTGAGCGCAAAGACACCTGAGCGCAAAGACACCTGAGCGCAAAGACACCTGAGCGCAAAGACACCTGAGCGCAAAGACACCTGAGCGCAAAGACACTGAGCGCAAAGACACCTGAGCGCAAAGACACCTGAGAAGCACCTAAAGACACCTGAGCGCAAAGACACCTGAGCGCAAAAAAAAAAAAGCAAAGACACCTACGCAAAGACACCTGAGCGCAAAAAAAAAAAAAAAAACAAAGGCACCTGAGCGCAAAGACAAAAAAAAAAAAAAAAACCTGAGCGCAAAGACACCTGAGCGCAAAGACACCTGAGCGCAAAAGACACCTGAGCGCAAAGACACCTGAGCGCAAAGACACCTGAGCGCAAAGACACCTGAGCGCAAAGACACCTGAGCGCAAAGACACCTGAGCGCAAAGACACCTGAGCGCAAAGACACCTGAGCGCAAAGACACCTGAGCGCAAAGACACCTGAGCGCAAAGACACCTGAGCGCAAAAGACACCTGAGCGCAAAGACACCTGAGCGCAAAGACACCTGAGCGCAAGACACCTGAGCGCAAAGACACCTGAGCGCTAAGGCACCTGAGCGCAAAGACACCTGAGCGCAAAGACACCTGAGCGCAAGCACCTGACGCAAAGACACCTGAGCGCAAAGACAAAAGACACCTGAGCGCAAAGACACCTGAGCGCAAAGACACCTGAGCGCAAAGACACCTGAGCGCAAAGACACCTGAAAAAAAAAAAGAACCTGAGCGCAAAGACACCTGAGCGCAAAGACACCTGAGCGCAAAGACACCTGAGCGCAAAGACACCTGAGCGCAAAGACACCTGAGCGCAAAGCCACCTGAGCGCAAAGACACCTGAGCGCAAAGGCACCTGAGCGCAAAGGCACCTGAGCGCAAAGGCACCTGAGCGCAAAGGCACCTGAGCGCAAAGGCACCTGAGCGCAAAGACACCTGAGCGCAAAGGCACCTGAGCGCAAAGACACCTGAGCGCAAAGGCACCTGAGCGCAAAGGCACCTGAGTGGAGAGGCACCTGAGTGGAGAGGCACCTGAGTGGAGAGGCACCTGAGTGGAGAGGCACCTGAGTGGAGAGGCACCTGAGTGGAGAGGCACCTGAGTGGAGGGGCACCTGAGCGGAGAGGTCAGAGTCGTTGGTGGTGCGAGTGCCTCCATGCCCCCTCATGTCGAGCGCCACCACCTGCACCTCGCCCTTCATGTGCCCAGCTGCCACCGCAAAAGACAGCCTGCCACGCACGCCCACATGTACCCATGCACCGCAAAAGGGAGGCGGGCATAGCAGCGGGGAGCTGATCAGGGATGAGCTGGAGGGCTCTGGCGTGCAGTGAATGCAAGCAAGGGCACTGTGAGGAGAGGGCGGTGTGGCTCCAGGGAGTGCCTTTGCAACAGGCAGACTGAGCTAATGAGCGGGCAGTGTGCTTGTAACGAGGGGCGAGTATGCTTGAGCCATGAATCCACCAACCCGGTGTAGCCGCCGCCATGCAAGCACAACAGCACGGGCCCTGTGCGCCCCGCCCTGTACACGTGGAACACCTGCCGGGGGGGGGGGGGGGGGGGAGGGGGGAAGGGGGGTGGTTGGTGGGGACAACAGGAGAGAGGAGACTAACCGATACGTGAGCACACAACCGGGCAGAGGGGGGGAGTGCAGAGAGGAGCGATGTGCGAGGGCAAGACGCCAGCATTGCTTTGTTCCATGCTGACTCACATCGCCATTTGTCATGGTCACATATTCCTCCTCGTCAAAGTACTCCTGCCATCCCACCGGTCCGAACTTGCTTCTGCTGCTCCTCCCCAGCCCCATGTCGCTCCACGCCATCTCGCTCACCGCACCCGTTCCCCCTGCCCCTGCCAGTTCCGCGCTTCCCTCGCCACCTTCGCCCCCTTCGCCGCCCTCCAGTGGGGCGTCCTCGAGGATGCGCGCGACGGCCTCGTGCGCCGCCCGGCTGTGGCTGTCCGCCTTGGGCAGCCGCGGACTCGCCTCCGTGCCCTCCCCTTCCGCCTCCTCCCCGCTCCCCCCCGCCTCCACCCGCTCCACCCGCACGCCCGCCCTCGGCTCCATTGCGCGTGCTGGGGGGCAGGGGCGCAAAGGGGAGAGCGCACAGAGCGCGGAAAGAGGGAGAAATGGAGGGGAAGCACAGAAGGGCCAGCGGGGAAGAGAACGCTGTGGCCCTGCTACCATGGCCCTGCCACCATGGCCCTGCCACCATGGCCCAGGCACCATGGCCCAGCCACCATGGCCCTGCCACCATGGCCCTGCCACCATGGCCCTGCCACCATGGCCCTGCCACCATGGCCCTGTCACCATGGCCCTACCACCATGGCCCAGCCACCATGGCCCAGCCACCATGGCCCTGCCACCATGGCCCTGCCACCATGGCCCTGACGCCATGGCCCTGCCACCATGGCCCAGCCACCATGGCCCTGCCACCATGCCCCAGCCACCATGCCCCAGCCGCCATGGCCCTGCCACCATGGCCCTGCCACCATGGCCCTGCCACCATGGCCCTGCCACCATGGCCCTGCCACCATGGCCCTGCCACCATGGCCCTGCCACCATGGCCCTGCCACCATGGCCCTGCCACCATGGCCCTACCACCATGGCCCAGCCACCATGGCCCAGCCACCATGGCCCTGCCACCATGGCCCTGCCACCATGGCCCAGCCACCATGGCCCTGCCACCATGCCCCAGCCACCATGCCCCAGCCGCCATGGCCCTGCCACCATGGCCCTGCCACCATGGCCCAGCCGCCATGGCCCTGCCACCATGGCCCTGCCACCATGGCCCTGCCACCATGGCCCTGCCACCATGGCCCTGCCACCATGGCCCTGCCACCATGGCCCTACCACCATGGCCCAGCCACCATGGCCCAGCCACCATGGCCCTGCCACCATGGCCCTGCCACCATGGCCCAGCCACCATGGCCCTGCCACCATGCCCCAGCCACCATGCCCCAGCCGCCATGGCCCTGCCACCATGGCCCTGCCACCATGGCCCAGCCGCCATGGCCCTGCCACCATGGCCCTGCCACCATGGCCCTGCCACCATGGCCCTGCCACCATGGCCCTGCCACCATGGCCCTGCCACCATGGCCCTGCCACCATGGCCCTGCCACCATGGCCCTGCCACCATGGCCCTGCCACCATGGCCCTACCACCATGGCCCAGCCACCATGGCCCAGCCACCATGGCCCTGCCACCATGGCCCTGCCACCATGGCCCAGCCACCATGGCCCTGCCACCATGGCCCAGCCGCCATGGCCCTGCCACCATGGCCCTGCCACCATGGCCCTGCCACCATGGCCCTGCCACCATGGCCCTGCCACCATGGCCCTGCCACCATGGCCCTGCCACCATGGCCCTGCCACCATGGCCCTGCCACCATGGCCCTGCCACCATGGCCCTACCACCATGGCCCAGCCACCATGGCCCAGCCACCATGGCCCTGCCACCATGGCCCTGCCACCATGGCCCAGCCACCATGGCCCTGCCACCATGCCCCAGCCACCATGCCCCAGCCGCCATGGCCCTGCCACCATGGCCCTGCCACCATGGCCCTGCCACCATGGCCTAGCCACCATGCCCCAGCCACCATGGCCCTGCCACCATGGCCCAGCCACCATGGCCCAGCCACCATGGCCCTGCCACCATGGCCCTGCCACCATGGCCCTGCCACCATGGCCCTGCAACCATGGCCCTGCCACCATGGCCCAGGCACCATGGCCCTGCCACCATGGCCCAGGCACCATGGCCCTGCCACCATGGCCCTGCCACCATGGCCCAGCCACCATGGCCCAGCCACCATGGCCCTGCCACAATGGCCCAGCCACCATGGCCCTGCCACCATGGCCCTGCCACCATGGCCCAGCCACCATGGCCCAGCCACCATGGCCCAGCCACCATGGCCCAGCCACCATGGCCCTGCCACCATGGCCCTGCCACCATGGCCCTGCCACCACGGCCCTGCCACCATGGCCCTGCCACCATGGCCCTGCCACGCCACCATGGCCCAGCCACCATGGCCCAGCCACCATGGCCCTGCTACCATGGCCCTGCCACCATGGCCCTGCCACCATGGCCCTGCCACCATGCCCCAGCCACCATGCCCCAGCCGCCATGGCCCTGCCACCATGGCCCAGCCACCATGGCCCAGCCACCATGGCCCTGCTACCATGGCCCTGCTACCATGGCCCTGCCACCATGGCCCTGCCACCATGGCCCAGCCACCATGCCCCAGCCGCCATGGCCCTGCCACCATGGCCCAGCCACCATGGCCCAGCCACCATGGCCCTGCTACCATGGCCCTGCCACCATGGCCCTGCCACAATGGCCCTGCCACCATGCCCCAGCCACCATGCCCCAGCCGCCATGGCCCTGCCACCATGGCCCTGCCACCATGGCCCTGCCACCATGGCCCTGCCACCATGCCCCAGCCACCATGCCCCAGCCACCATGGCCCTGCCACCATGGCCCTGCCACCATGGCCCTGCCACCATGGCCTAGCCACCATGCCCCAGCCACCATGGCCCTGCCACCATGGCCCTGCCACCATGGCCCAGCCACCATGCCCCAGCCTAAGCATGGGCAATCGAGGCGAGTAAAAACTCGACTCGTTTGCTCGACTCGTTTTTCCCGAGTAACGAGTCAACCTCCTCTGGAAATTGCTCGCCCCGAGTCGAGTCGAGTTTACTCGTCGAGCATTCGAGTACTCGAATGTTACTCGCCTGGTCCAGGCGAGTAATTTTTACTCGCGAGTAACAATTACTCGCCTGCAGTGTTTTTGCTCGCGAGCAGAAATTGCTCGCGAGCAAAAATTGGGCTCGCGTCAATTTTGTGCCATCGGAACTCGGGTGCGCTGGCACAAAACTCAGAATTTTGACTTGGCCAGTTCATTATTTCAGAGTCGGCCAAGCTCTGGCGTTTCGTTTTAGGACACACACTACTTTACTGCAGCTCCGTTTCCAAAGCGCTTTGGGTGCTTTCTTCTTAAACCAGATCCGTTAGGATCTAGGAGACGTAGAGTTGTCGCAAGGGTTGTTGGTCCTTTACAGATCTGGCCAGCAACAATCCTAGATCTGTCTCCTAGTGCAGATCCGTTTATTTAACGCCATGGGTGCTTTCTTCATTAACTAGATCCGTTAGTCTAACTACACCTAGCCTCGACTTAGAGCTGTGGCAAGGATTGTTGATCCTTTTCAGTTTTGGCCTGCAACAATCCTAGATCTGAGTCCTAAAGGAAAACGCAAGAGACCAGCAGGCATTGCACTGTTCAACGCTCTCCTCTAACTGACCGGAATGCCTCCCAAGGGGCGTGCTGGAGGCTCTAAGCGCCACCGTGGGGGTGGCGAAGATGAGGCAGGGGAGGACAATGGTGTGCCTACCAGCGTCGAGCAGCGGCGGTTGAAGCAGGCTGTACTCGAGGCAGAGCTTGAGGCTGCCAGAAAGTTGAAGGCGGCGCACGCCGGTGTGAGGGGGGGGGAAGGCGGCCGTGGGTCAGGTGTTGGCAACGCTGGCCCCTCGAGGCCAGGGGTTTCCGATGGGGCTGGGAGTGGCAAGGGGGGGGGGGACGCTGGTGCACTTGCGATGGTGCTTGTTGCCGAGGAGGGGGCGGACGGGGAGCAGGGGGGGGGTGAGGAGAGTGAGGAGAGCTCGTCCGAGTCGGGTGACGATTCGGAGAAGGGTTTCCACCACGGCGATGAAGAAGAAGAGCATGAGGATGCCTTGGATGGGTTGGAGGTTGAGGCGGATGATGGCAACCTCCGACCTTCAACCATGGGCTCTAAGGGTGGTGGAAGGGGATCCGGGACAGGGACGGCCAAGGAGAAGGTGACGGAGAAGGATACGGGGGTGGGGAAAGAGAAGGAGACGGGGAGGGCGAAGGAGAAGCGTGGAAAGCAGGGAGGTGCGGCTGGTGGTGGTGGCTTGGCAGCTCCTGGTGGTAGAGGAGAGGCGGGTTTTGGGGGGGGGAGGAGTGGGAAGCCCACCCCCCCAAATACCACAGGCAAGGCAGCAGCTGGAACCACGAAAGGAGCGAAGACGGCCGATGATGATGACATCCCGGTCGCCAAGTGCTTCGACGTGGTGACCGAGTGGGGGAATAAGAGGCGCTGTCGGAAGTGCGGGAAAGCCCTCTCCTTTGCTGGCAGCAACACATCGACCGGCCGTTCGCACATGCAGCGCAAACACTTGCACCACTGGGAGATATGGGGGCGCAGGTGGAAGGGAGGGGAGGTGGGGCCCGACGAACTATTCCCCGAGGGCGGGTACGGGGATGCTGGGGAGGTCCCTGACGGAAAGCTGGCATGGGATGGCCATGGCTGGTGGCCACTGCTCCCTCCTTCTGGGTCGGGGCAGGGAGGTCAGCAGAGCATGACGCGCTACATGCAGGCTCGCCTTGACCAGAGCTACTTGCGGCAGACGATAATTGAGTTCATCGTCGACGCAGATCTGGCTTTCAGCATAGTCGACCGGCCGACCGTAAGCCCACCACCCAACCCCACCACTCTGCCCTTGTTGCATGCCTCTTGTGTGCGCCCACCTCGTCACGCTGCAGAGCACATGCTAAACCCCGTATAGCAATACGTCCATCACCCGCGACCCCTTGCTGCCTTGCCCCCGCCAAACCAGTACCGCCGCATGATGACTGCCTCCAACGTCCAGTGTGGGGCACCTGGTGTGATCCCATCGCGCGGTGCCATGACACGGGGCCTTGTCCGCATGTGCCGTGCAGCCCGCGCCATGAGTAAGCTGGAGGTGGCAGTTGCCGCAGGTGGGGGGGCGATGTCCTTCACCACCGACATCTGGTCGGGCGAGAACCATCGCGGGTACATGGCGGTCACCGGCCACTGGCTGACCACCGCGTTCGAACTCAGGCAGGCTACGCTTGAGTTCGCTGCGCTTCCAGCCAGGCATACTGCCGCCGTCGTGGCGGCGGTGCTGGAGGAAGTGGTTCTGGATTGGGGGCTGGTGGGCCGTTGCATGGCGGTCACAACGGACAACGCCTCCACGAACATTGCTGCAATGCAGTGGTTGTCGAGGCAGGGCCCTGGCGCCAGGTTTCCTCGCCTAT